CCCCCCCGCCGCCAGGGCATCGACTTCGACCGCAACCGGTCCGAAGGGGTCGACTCTGCCCGGTTCGCCGCGCTGATGATGTCATCGGGGCTCGTCTGCAACGACTCGGTGAGTTGGGTCACGTTCCACAGCGCGTACGACTTCGGCTACCTGGTCAAAATTCTCACGCGCCGGAACTTGCCCAGTGGCTTGGACGAGTTTTTGAGGATTTTGAGGGTCTTTTTCGGAAACAGAGTTTATGACGTGAAGCACATGATGCGCTTCTGTAAGAGCTTGTACGGTGGGTTGGACCGGGTTGCTAGAACCTTAAAGGTGGACCGGGCGGTCGGAAAGTGCCACCAGGCCGGTTCGGATAGCTTGCTGACATGGCATGCGTTTCAGAAGATGAGGGATGTGTATTTTGTGCATGGCGGGCCTGAGCGACACGCTGGAGTGTTGTATGGATTGGAAGTGTTTTGATTATTTAAAGATGCAAAAAATTTATGAATTAATTTGTATATTAAATTTAATTGCTTTCTTAATTGGGGCAATTTAATTAATAAGATTAAAAAAAAATCTTTTTTGGTATAACAATTTATGATGCGAATTTGATAATTTAGGACTACTACTATAGAAAGTCCTGAAACTATAAGGATCCTGAGCCTCTGCATTTAGAGAATACGTATTTATACGCATTTTTATAAAATCTCAATCATTCAAATCATCTAACGACTTAAAGCAAGCCACATCAACTAGAGTATAGATTTGTAACTTTCTTTAAAAATTGACGGTAACAGTCCCTCCGTCTCTCAACCCCAATATCCATAATCCTCATCATGACTATAAGTCCATTAAGGACTAAGCATTCATCTTCCAACACTTGCCAGATTTCCTCCTTTTGAGCCATCTAATTTGTATTCCTGTTCATCCTCCTCATGACTGCTTGTCATCAACTTCCATGGCAACCGCCCAATATTTCCATCATCCTCCATATCCCCAATTTTATTTCATTATAAGAATGAATTTATTTATTTATTTTTAATTTCACTCATATCTTATTTTTTTTGTATGATGGTAGATCCCCTCACCCTATCCCATAACAAATCTTCCAATTTGAGATAAGGAGGATTATTATAAAATTGGCATTATGGAAGTGGCCTTCTGTTTGTGTAAATTACAGAGTCGGTTGAGAAGCAGGCTTGATAATTTGAAATGGGTTGGTGTTTCTTAGGATCGGGTTAGGAATTTTTTTATTATTCATCAGAAAAAGAAAGGGAAAAGATGGAGAGTGAAGATGAAGTTGGTTCTGAGGAGAAAACAATGAGTAACAAATGCCGTTATCGTTAATAAAGGCAAAAACATATTTAACTGATTTGGCTTGATTTAAGTTGTTAGATGATTTGAATATTTGAGATTTTATGAAATACAGGTAAATGCGTACTCTCTAAGTGCAGAGGCTCGGGATCCCAAAATATTTCAATTCTGTCAAGATCATAAGGCACAATTTGAATAGGTATACTTTCAATTATATTGTTGAATATATATTCATTTTGATAATATGTATTTTTAGGTTGCATTTAATAAGTATTTATTTTTTGGTATGATTAAATTAATTTTTTTTCTATAACAACTGTAAAAACTAGAAATTGTATGTTCATTTTTTTTTAAATTTAAATAGTGCTTGGGTTTTTTTATAAATACATGTCTAAGATTGGGTTTATTTATAAATTTGTATAAAATTTAATCTAAAAAATTTAACTAGCCCACCAGTTAAATTTTGTTGGTTCCGCTCTTGCCTTAACCGTCCCACCTTACCCCATCTTTAGACCAATTGAAAAATTAAAACTTTATTGTAACCGAAAAAATAATCAGAACTTGATGTCAGAAACCCTTTACTTGAGGCTCTAGTCCATATGTAGGAGAACCCGTTTCTTCCAAGCATGCTCAAGATAGCCCAAATCATGTTGTCCAAAATTGGGTACAGTTTCAGTTGGATTTGGAATTTTTTATTTATTTAATTGGGTAGAAAAAGGAGAATAATAAACGCGTATGCCAATCATCAAAGTCTTTCTATTGGTCGAAATCGAAAGGCCAATAATCGAAGTATGAGTTTCCTTGTTCTTTCTCGTTTCACTATTGACATGATTTTAAGCGTGCATAATGTAACAGCCGAATGATTCACTATCACTAATTCTTTTTTTATGTATAAATAAGGATCATTAAAATATGCATTAATGTTGGCATGTTTTTTATATTGAGGGAGTCACTATTGTGTCCAATATAGGATCCTAAATTATTTATAAATAAGAAAAATTTATATGAAATGGACTTTAAAAACACACCAAAGTCTCATTTACAACATAACAAAGAGGCTTCGAAGTTCTTATAAATTACAAAATTGCCGTCGATTTTTTAAAACAAGCACAACCACAAAACCTCCTTAAAAAAATCTCAAAACACTCAACAAGGCATCAAAGTAATTTAATCATATACTCATTCTTAGCACAAATGATATAGATAAACCCTACACCATTTAATTTATATAGACAAACCCAAAAAAAAATTCCAAAAAATGACAGCTAGCTCTATTGAATTTAATTTTGATTACTCTGATGCCCTATTGAATGTTTTGGGTTTTTTTAATGAGGTTTTGGAGTTGAGTTTATTTTAAAAAATTGATGACAATTTTGTAATTTATAAGAAGTTGTAAATAGACTTTGGATGTGTTTTTAAAGTCTATTTTAGGGGTGGGCATCTTAAAGCGAAATACCGAAACCGTACCCTAACCGCACCGTACCATACCGATTTCATACCGTTTTATTTGGTATGAGGAGATATTCGGTACCGTACCGTACCAATAGAATATGGTATGGTAGAGGTATCAAGATTTTGGTACCGATCAATACCGTACCGTACCGAATAATATAACTTTATGTTTTTGTCATTTATGTTTGGATTGTGTTTGTATTTTTGTAAGTCATAAGACATAATTTTAACTATTTTGGTTTGTAAGTCATAAGGCATGAGTTTTAACCATTTGGATTTGATGAATCTATTGATGGATAAATATTGATTTGGATATTGAATATGTTGATGGATATTGAATATGTTGATTAAGATTTGGATATTGAATATGTTGATGGATATTGAATATATTGATTAGGATTTGGATATTGAATATGTTGAATCTTTGAATTTGTAATTAAGGCATCACTTATTTTGGTGTTGAATATTGAATTGATTCATTTTTTAGTTGTATCATTTTGATACCGAAATGGTACCGATATCGTACCGATACCGATTTGGCAAGGTACGGTATGGTACGAATTTTGACAAACCATCTCATACCGTATTATACCGATTTAAATTTCCAGTATCGGTAGCGGTACAGGCTCAATACCGTACCATACCGTACCGTGCCCACCCCTAGTCTATTTTATATAAGGGGTTTTTTATATTAAAAAAAAAATTGGGCCCCTATATTGAGTACAATAGTGAATCTCCTAATTAAATTCAACAAGACCAGCTATCGGTTTTTGGGTTTATTTATAGAAATTAAATGGTGTATGATTTATCTATATCACTAGTGCTAAGAATGAGTATATAATTAAATATCTATTTCATATTCAGTATAAAACGCTAACATTTCATATCAAGTTAATTCATTAAAAACACTCCATAATGAAAATTAAAAAAATTCATTAAGCAGACTAATTCTTGATTCACCTTATAATACATAAACAAATTATTATGCGATAGTGTGGGCGGTCATACATGAGTGTAGAGTAACAGATGAAAATAGCTTATGTTTAGGAATTGTTATGCATCCAAATTTGAAACTTGCCCAAATTGGGATCCTCTATTGAATTGTGGCAGAAAAAAAGATGAAGAGTAGGCGTAGCTGATTTGATGTTCTCGAACACAAGCCTATATCTGATGCATTTCTTCATGGATTAAGTTTCAGAGAAAGAAAATCTATACTATTTGCAACGAAGACTTTAAACTTGAAATTGAAGACGAAAAGTACTGTTACTTTTTTGGTGCAACCCATCTTGACTTTGACCACATTCACATATTGAGTGTATGAATAAGGACAAAATATTAAATCCAAGTCTCACGGTAAAATAAATAAATAAATAAAAGGAGATCGACGTGGTGGGCAGTATTTTTTCTTTGCTCCCGCCGAACGCCAACATCACCTAACCAATAATTACTCCTATCTATGAGAGAAATTTTCATGCAAGAGGATAGTACTTTTTATT